AGTTTTCCAAAATCATCTTGTCAGTTAGGAGGCGATCTTTTGTCCCTCTGTTGTTTGGGCAGTTTCCTTTCTGCTCAAATGGAAAGAGTTTGTTTTCAACTAGATGCTGTTGGACTGCATCAGCTATCATACCAGTTAGCAATTTGAAAGTTGTTGATAAGCAGGTAATTGGCCTGTAGTTTCCTGGTGCTGCCCCTTTTGTTGGATCTTTCATTATCAGATAGGTTTTGCTAGATGTTAACCAATCTTCAATTTCACCTCCTTGCAGTATGTTGTTAAACTGCTCAGCAATGAGTGGGTGCAGACCAGTCAGATGTTTCAACCAAAAATCATGCAGTTCATCTTCATCTTCCTTGCCCTTTTCTCCACCATTTCTGCTGTTATTACAAGTTCTTTCATTTCAGCTTCTTTTTTATTCTTATCTACCTCCTTTATCCAAGCTGCATTCTTCTTGTGTTTGGGTTGTCCCATAGCTGCACCCAGAACTGCATTGTTTCTTCTTTGTCAGGTGCTGACTGGCTCATTGCAGTCTCTCCATTGATGGAGTGGTAGAAACATTACTGATTGAGCTAAAATTGGAGATTCTGGCTATAATGTGTAATTCAAGCTTTGTATCTGCTGATCTTCTTGGCTATGGCTGTTATTTGCTGCTTTATTATTGCCAATGCTTTTTGATCTTCCTTGTTTCTGGGTGATATTTCTTGATCAGGTATTCTTTGGTCTTGTTCTTCAGCTTCTTCTTTTTTAATCTGTTCTGGCTTGCTTGCATATGGTCTTGGCGTGTTATCTTATTTTGCATCCTGATCTTCCATTTTGGTGGTGCACTGTTTGGCTTTTTCTCTTGTTTGTTGATTTTGCACCCAAGGTATTCAGTTACAACTGCAGCCCTGCTGTACATTAGTTTGTTTGTTTCTTGCAGTGAGCTGGTGTTGACATTTGATATTACAGTATTGGCATCTTTTAATACTTGTGCTAGCTGTTTCTTGGTAACAAGTTTCAATGCAGGCAACCTTATTCTGTTGTTTTTGTGCTGTTCTGGATGCTTAGTTATTCTTTGTTTCAGTTCCTCTTGTTTTTTAGTTAGAGGGCTTTGTTTTTTCTGACGAGAAGGCAGAGGATAGGGTGCCTGATTTGGGAATGAAAATGATTCAGTTGCTATGCTGGCTTCCTGTATTGCCACTACAGCCTGAGCTACTTCTGCCAAGGCTTCGGCTTCTTTGCCCTGGGTAGATCTTTGCAGTTCTTCCAATTCTTCTTCTGTGAATACTTTATTTCATATTATAAATCAGTGTTGATCTGCTAGTCTCTATTCTGTTATTTCTGATTCTAGATGTGGTTCTTTCCAGAACTGGTGCATTCTTTTGAGGTATCCTCTTCTCGTTGGACTTGATTTGTAATAGCAGATCATTATTTCTTTGTTTTCAATCTTCATACATATGTGATAGTTAAACAACTTTTCTTCCAGTAGTCCTGCAGCTGCTGGTCCTGGTTGCTCAGCCAACAGACCTGAGTCCTTGTCACCAGATATCCAGGAACTTGTCACCAGATGTCCAGGAACTAGAACACATAGAGTGGTTCTTGTTGACCTGGGCGATGCCCAATCCAGTATAGGTTTTTGTAAATTTTGTCTCATCCTATTGTTTATGGGAGAGAGACTCTTTGTCTGGCTCCTCTGATGAGACCTGTCCAGTATGGTTGAACCTCTGGCATATTTCTCATCCTCCTCGGAGCATGCAAGCCCCACAACCACATCGACATAGTGTATTATTATTATTATTATTATTATTATTATTATTATTATTATTGTTGTTGTTTCAAATCAATGTTGACTCCTGTCTGGACTAGCCCCTGAAGTTTTCTTGGCAAGATTTTAGAAGTGGTTTGCCATTGGCATCTTCCAAGGGCTTAGAGTGACTGGCCCAAGGTCACTAGTTGGCTTCATGCCTAAGTCAGGACTAGAACTCACAATCTCCCAGTTACTGCCTGGTGCCTTAAATGTGTGTGTATGTATGTGTGTGTATGTGTGTGTGCATATATAGGGCCTGAAGGAAGAAATTGAGAGGATGTGGAAAGTAAAGGTCCCAGTGGTCCCAGTGGTGGTAGGAGCACTTGGGGCTGTGACTCCTAAGCTGGGAGAGTGGCTCCAACAGATCCCAGGAACAACATCAAATCTCTCTGTACAGAAGAGTGCAGTGCTAGGAATAGCTAAGATACTGTGCAGAACCCTCAGACTCCCAGGCCTGTGGTAGAGGACCCAAGACTGAGGAAGACACATACCACCCATAGAGGTGAGAAGGGGATTTTTTGGGGGGCGGTATAATATTAAACTAGATGAGCCCCAGCCACTGATGTCCTGCAGGAAAAAAAATTTATGCTTATTAAATAGCTTCATGTTATCTGCATTCCTGGGGGCAGTGTTAAGAAAATTAACTTTCTTAAGAGGAAGATGGAAAATTTTGTGATTTCTATAATAATTGTTCAGATCTAAATATACTAACATGCAAGAAGGAAGTGAGCAAACTTACCAAAAGGCAGTCTCAGTAGTCCAAGGTCTAAAACTGTTTGCTAACCACTTAATTTTGACCTTACCCAGCCTACTTCAAAATTTCTTTCTCCATGATCAGATTCCAAGCTACCTTCTTTATCCCTGAAGCTTGACCCATATAGGCATTCACTGTTGGTGGCAAATATTTGAATAGTGCAGCTGCATGACAAAATCCACTCCCTGCAAAATTCTGTATGTATGAATGAGATTTTCCAAGCCCTCTTTTATCAAAGGAATACATCTAGGCTTGTCAACTGGCCAGGAAGTAAACAGTTTGGCTTGTTTTTGTACTATGTGACACGTAGAAATCAGCTGGTAAAACTTGTCATGACATTGACATAATCATTGCCAATGGATAATTTATTATTAAAGAGACAATGAAAGGAACCAATGAAAAAGCTGACAATCTAAGTAAGGGACTGGTTGACCAGCATTTCTACCTTGCTAGCCCTTCCTTGAATTTTTAGATTGTACTTTCTTCCTTTCCCCACCTAATGTGAAAATTACTGTTTTCTTTGGAAACACCTTTCCTTTCAAAGGATTTATCTGTGCTACAAATGTGTATCAGTGGTATGTCACCAAAGACTTCTGGAACCTGTGGTTTAATCAGAATGTTTACGTGGGGCCAAGGAATAATCAGTCAAGCAATTAACATGTACACTAGATCCACAACATTTACAACTAAACTTACATAAAATATCTGCAGTTCAAATGATATATTAAATGAATTAGAGGCATCTGTGAGTATTTAGTGCCCCTCCCATCCAATGGTTAGGAATTCTGGGAATTGTAGTCAAGCATTTTTGAAGGTAAAAACCACCACAGCCACAACTGTCCTGTTAGCTATCCCTGTTTTAGGGAATATATTTTCCCAGCTTGTCTGGCTTTTTGACTATGATTCATAATGTTGGATTCATTCGTTAGGAACATAAAAAAGAGGCATTTGGCAAAAAGTGGGTTAGGGTTTTCCACTGGTTACTTTTCCCCCCAACTTTTCCAGGCAAAAAAAATATTGAAACTGCTAATCGCTACTATTCTCTAGGTTTACTCTTGAATATTACTGTAGTTCTGAGAGCTGGTGGTATTTTGTTTTCTCCTTTGTTACTTCATTTTTCAAGCAGGTACAAATAGGAATGTAGTATTTATATATCTGGTCCAAATAAGAGACGAAGCACTTGATGTAATTGATAAATACCAGTTTGAATGTTCTTTAAGAAAGGAATGGGTCTCCCTTCTTCCAACGTATATTTTGAGCTTAGGGAAAATGTAAATTATCTAGATGGTGATGGACAGCAGGGACTCTTAAGATTATATGGAGCAAGCTTGAAGGGGAAAAAACCCTGTTCCTAAACTCTTTGTCAAATCCATAGCTACTGTGTGCTGTTTAACCTATCACTTCATTTATTATAACAATCTACATAAGACCATTGGGAAGATAAAACTGGAATGGGGTGGGAAGGAAGTCATAATTTCCACTCTTGGCCCTCTGAAGGAAGGACAGTTTAAACATGAAACAGATGAATGAAAGCCAGGAGTTCCTGGGCTGACGATAGCTCTCCTTTGCTTTCTCCAGTTCCACATCCCATCTGCAGTAGGGAACCACCACCACCATCCCATCTTCAAAATGTTGAATGTGCTGGGATGAGACATCTGAGTCCAAAGCCTATTGTGAAGTAAAATATGAAGATATGTATGTGCGCACAGGAGGCAAATACACACCTTAAATCTCTGGAAATGCCAAAGATGATGAAATAAGAGATGTCATATCAGTCACTCATTTAAGAAAAAATGAGTAATCCAGAGGTTTGGCCATAACATGCTGACCATAATGCTTACATTATGCAAAACAAAATCAGGCCATACTGACTGAAAACTGGGGGAAACCATTGAAATAAGAGACAGACCAGATAAACAGTGGTGGAGAAGGTTGTCAAAGAGAAGATGGAGAACACAAGCAGGTTGTCTGCCACTTACCTGGAGGGGGTTTGAGGATGTAAGAGGAGAGGGAAGACCATGCCCTGGAGACTGGTTGGCTTTCTGAGGGGAGCCTGAAGTTTGCTGAGCTGCAGGCGGCTGGTTCTGATTCTGATTCTGATTCTGAGGCTGTGGCTGTGGCTGTTGTGGTGGCGGAGGTGGAGGGGGCTGTTGCTGTTGAGGCAGTTGTGGCTGTGGTGGTTGCTGCTGGGGCTGACTGGCTTGGCCCTGTGCTTGCTGGCTAGCTTGGCTCTGCTGCTGCTGTTGCTGCTGCTGCTGCTGGAGCTGCTGAAGATGCTGGAGCTGCTGAAGCTGGGAATTCAGGGATGAGGTAGCTACAGGTGAAAAAAAATCAAGTTGGAGTTACAAAGGATTCTTCAAAATATTAGGCTCTGGAGTACTGTTAGAAGAACAAGAAGGAAGACATGGAAGTTGGACCTCTTTGCTTAGCCTTGTAAGTAAACTAAGATATATTTTTAGAAAACAAAAAAGGAATGGGATATAACATCTTGCACCATAAATCTGCTTCTCCTATGCTTGGACCTGGTTCACAAATATCCTAGGCCATAATGTGACTTGTATGAAACCGGTTTAATGTGTTGTATGAATCTAGCCACTATATCTTTTTCCAATAAACCATAGTTAAACAACTCAGACATAAAGGTACTGTAACTATAGATTTCACTGCCAGTTATGTTTTAGCCTATTTTAGATATCTAGAGAAAGAGTTGAAATGTAGACAGTGTTTTCAAGTGTTAACAACACCAGAAATAGATCTCAGTTCCCAGAATTCCTGATCCAGGATGGCCACTTCTGAGAATTCTGGGAGTAAAATATGAAGTGGTCAAGGTCAGAAAACACCAAAGTAAACTGTGGGAGAAAGAAAAATGGATTCTGGATGAGGCCAGGATCAAGAAAATGGGTCTGCAGAGAGGAAATAGATCACACTTCTCCAACATGATTCCTTTAGATGTGTTGGACTTCAGTTCCCAGAAGTCCTAGTCAGCACAACCAATAGGCTAAAGAAGGCTGCTATAAGACATGTCTGCATAACTAGTGACTAAATGCTACCCCACATTCATACTTGGAGATCATCCAAGGCTCTGTTACTTAGCTGGGCTTCAAAATAAAACAAAACAAAAAGTTGGGAATAGAAAGAAAATAAAGCCCCTGAAAAACAAAAAATTGTGGTTGATGGGATATATTTAGTTTGATATAAGGCATGAAACCTTTCTGAAAAGGCTAAGGAACTGAATTTATATGTCAACTAAAATATGCTTTGTTTAATCATTGAACAAATCACAATGAGATGATCACACATCATGCCAATTCATAAGCCTGCATTCATGAATAAGGTAATTTCTAAAGGTTCACACATGCAAAACCAAAGCTAAACTAACCATTGCTTAGCATGTGAATTCAGCCACTGAGTTATATCATATTTTAGTTGGTCTTTCAAAATAATTAAGGTTATGCTTTCATCTACAGTTGCCAAATAGTAAGTTCTATTCGAGCTTCCTTTTAATTTCACACTGATGCAAATCACTATCTCTTGGCTCCAGTTTCCCATTAGTAAAATGGAAATACCAGCATTTCAGTTTGTTTCAAACTGATGTGGTTAAAGGATAACTGTTATGGACCTTTTAATATTTTCAAATAAATATATAAGTGACAACCACAAACAAGAAGAAAATTCCTGTGAGTCTCATTGCACAAATGGATACAAAGAAACAGTCTAAATTTGCTACAGATGTTTTATAGCAACCATGTTCTGTGTACTGGTGAAGGATATTAAAAGAAATAAAATAAAATAAGATTGATTGTTAAGGTTCAGCTCTGCCTGGAGGTCCTAAATGATTATACATGACACCATATGCATAGTGCCAAAGAAATTAAGCCATATCTCAGAATAAAACAGATTAAGATAAGAATTTCAACAAAGTGCTAGAATTCAGGAGTGGCACAAAGCAAGCTTTACATTAATTTGGTGCCCAAGATGTGTGCATGCTAATTTTAAATCCAATTGATTTCAATGGGAGAAAGTATTTCATTTTAAATACATTTTGAGTAATGCTCCACTATAATTAAAGGAGTATTGAGAGTTCTTGCAATATTTTATAAATTTTGAAATATATGGACAAAAAAGTGTATTTGGATTAGGCATTTGAATTTCCATCACATCTGGAGGAGACCAGTTGGGAAGGACGAATCTGTTTTGACTGGTTCTACCTGCCCAAGTTCTCCAGAGAGACTCTTCTCATTCTCCAGTAGATTCCAGAGATGCCAGGCATTGAAGCATGTCATATAAATATGCATTATTTTATTGAGCAGTGATCACAATTCTCCATACTCAGGCAGGAATGCTGCAAATTTGAATATAGAGCCTCACTGCCCACACTAGTTCCCCAATCTGAGGAAAAATGTACTAATAAAATACTTGCAGTTGGAATACTTGGTCAGTTGAAATTGTACTGAAAAGTGATTGTAATCTGACAAGTACTGTACAAAGGGATGATTGCAAAAAGCAATATTAAAAATATGAGATTCCAACCTGAGGAGCTATGTGCAATCTCACTACAACCAAAAATGAAAAACCCAATGATTGTACTAACTGTAGCTTGTAATTGTAATTAAGTAACTTGAAACACAATAAATTAAATCTAAAAATTTGAATAAAATGCATATTTATATTTGCAAACTTCCAAAAAGGAGATAATATCCAAGGTGAATACAGAGATAACTTTGAAGAAGGAATTCATAGTGTTGACATTTTCCAGTGATTTCAAGTCTTTAACCTTTTCTGAATCTGCTAGGATGCTGAAATTAATGACTGGTAAATGCCAGAGTCAAAATTGGTTTGAGAACTGTAACTTCATATCTCTTCATTTGAGGAAGCCATTGTTGCCTAGAAAACAGAAAAAGTAACACTCCCTCCAAAAGTGTGATAAGAACAATAGCAACTTGAAATTTTACCCATCCACAGTTATTGGTTGATTGATTGATTGATTGATTGATTAGGTGCCACCAAATTTGATTGGCTGATAGATACATCTTCTCCAGGATGATATGTGCCCAACCTGGTCCTTCAGGTTTTCCAATGGTGTATCATCATTTCTTTAATTGTATACATTCCATCTTCCTGCTGGTCATCCTCTTCTTCTCTCTCCTTCCACCTTTCTTACCATTATAGATTTCTGTAGAGATAAATTTGCATAATGTCCCAAAATATGATAATTTGACCTTGGTCATTTGTACATCTGGTGAGAATTATGGATTCTTTCATTCTATGTTCTCTGAAATTCTTTGTTGAGTTCCTTTCTGAGGTCTTTGTCTTTCTTGGCTTCTCTTCTCAGTAGTTTCCACTATTTGTTCTGACATTGTTTTCTTTCTTCTGTTCTTAGTCTTCAGCAGTCTCTTTTCACATTCATTCTTAACAACTTATTTGATTCATTCTACAGTTCCTCTGGTTCCTTAACCCATCAATAAGGTTAAGGACTTCAAGTAAATTCCTGATGTTCTTCTTGAAAATTGTGGATATATACTCACAATCATATGATGGAAACTGGTTGGCTTTGTTCTTCTGTTTTAGCTTTGGCTTACAACTTGCACATGAGCAATTTATGATCTGTTCTGCAGTTAGTCCCTGGCCATGTCTTTGCAGTTATAACTGAGCTCTTCACCTCCTTGTATCAATAATATAGTCAATTTAATTTCTGTATACTACATCTGATAATATCCATGTATATAGGCATCATTTTGGTTGTTGGAAGACTGTGTTAGTAATGAAGAAACCATTGGGTGGTGGAAATTGATAAGTTATTCTGCTTCATTTCTGTTTACTAGGCCATGTAGTCCAACTATGTTTTCCTCCTTAATATTTCCAACTTTGGCATTCCAGTCTCCAGTCACAAGCAGCTCGTGTTGCTTGCATGTTCTGTCAATTTCAAATTGAACTTATCAACATCCTCTTCTTCTGCATCGCTGGTTGGAGCATAAAGTTCAATGATCATCATATTTAAGGGCTGTTCATGAAGTCTAATCAATATTATTTGGTCACTGACTGCATTGTAGCCAAGTACTTCTTGCTGTACCCTTCCTAACCATAAAAGCAATGCCATTCCTTGTTTTTCATGTCCTGAGTAATAAACTGTGTGATCTTCTGACTGAAAGTGTCCAATTCCAGTCCATCTCAATTCACTGATGCCTAAGATGTCAATTTGTAATCGTTTGATTTCATCCATCACGGTATTGTGCTTTCCTGTGTTCATGTTTTCTTATGTTCCATGTTCCTACTGTAATTCTATCTTTGCAGCTTTAGATTTTTTAAAATCTTGTATGGCACTATCAGCAACTAGATGTTCCAAAGACTTTAATCTAGCAATGTCATAAACACCACTAGTACCCAGAAAGATCCTCAGCTCTTCCTCAGTAGCATGTTGACTGCCATCTGACCTGGGAAGCCTATCTTCCAGCACTATATTGTCAATTACTTTATATTGTCAATCCATGTGATTTTCTTGGTAAAACACTCTTGCTTTCTCCTATGCCACATGAAATAATGCCTTTGGCATTGTCATTAAAGTGGTCATCCACCTCTAGCATCTTCCTATATCACTAATGCCCGACATAAGGGCTTACTTCCTTTAGCTGGGTAGCTGGGATGACCTTTACAATTCAGATTACCCTGCTGGGATTATATATTCTTGGCAAATACTCCCAATGCCCTTTCTCATCCCTTCCAGGTACAACCCTCCTCCCCTTGATGAGGCAGCACAGCATGACTTGAGGGGGCTAATATTATTAGGGAATTAAAAACTAACAAAGAACAGATCCACATGATAGCCACCTGAGGGTTCTTAAATAACTCAAATGTTATTTGAGATTGTCTAACAAAAATGTGTAATCTGTCACTAAAGACGTCTTTAAACTAGAAAATTAGAGTTGGATAAATAGATGGAATTAGTGATAAATTTTTCAAGCACATAGAAGAATGCACCTTGCTCAAGAAGCATTAACCTGGCTTCTGCAAATGTAAACCACTTTTTACTAAGCTTTTGCCCAGAGGGTAGAGTTTCGGGAAAGAGATTCTTTTTCATGAAGTCCAGCCCTGCTGTCATCCAAGCCACCACAGAATAAATTGCCTAATTTTCTTAGAGTATTAACTGCATCAGGACACAGATCACCCAAAGTAAAAACGTAAATAGCCACTGTCTCTATATTTATTGCCAAGAAGCTGGAAGGAGCCAAAGAAAATCTCTGGTTGACTAGGGCTGTTTTTTGCTGTAAATTATGGTTTTTATTGGTGTGTAAAATCTTGGTTATCTGAATTGATTTG